GGATGGATGAGAGGGGGGATGGATGAGAGGGGGGATGGATGAGAGGGTAAATGAATAGACAGTGGATGGATGGATGGATGAGAGGGGGGATGGATGAGAGGGGGGATGGATGAGAGGGTGGATGAATAGATAGATTAGTGGATGAATGGATGGATGGACAGATAGATGGGTGGGTTGGTGAGTAGATGAATAGGTAAATGGATAGATGGATGCGTGGATGGAAGGAGGGAGAGTAAGTGGATGACTAGGTAGATAACTGGGTTAAAGATGTTGGGCTTCTCCTGAATTCCTAGACCTCCTAGACCTGGAAGACAAGTTCTTACAAGAAAGAGGAAAACGTATTCGAGGGGTTTTTGGAGTGACAGGGCAAAGTTATGGTGACAAGTTCATGGCTTTGACACTCTTGTGAGCTGTCCAGAACTCACAGAATCAGTGAGGCATGCTGGTACACATCTACAATCCCAGCCCTCTAGAGGCTGCCACAGGAGGATTTCTGCAAGTTCATGACTAGCCCAGGCTACGTAGTGAGTTCAAGGCCAGCCAGAATCACGCAGCAAGACCCTATCTCAAAACAAAACCAAAACCAAAACAAAAATAAAACCACAACTCACAGAAGCACTTACATCAGACCTTTACAGTGGATTCTGGCACATACTAAAAATGCAAACGCATGCAAAGAGGGTCATATGCCTTTAAGAACCAAAAAGTCCAAAGGGGACACTCAAGACCTGGCGGTCTTACTGCATTCTTCAAGTCTGAGGGCTCAGGGGCGCCGTGAGGGCTGAGGGGGTGAGCTGCACCTCAGGGGGTCCTGATGGAGGAGTGGCTGGGCTGTGTGGGTGGAGGAAGTGGTGGGAAGGATGAGAGGGGAAGGGAAACTGGGCGGCACAGCAACTTCCCCTCCCTCATCTTATTGGAACCCAGGGCCCCTTGACACCAGGAACCTCCTCCCACCCATGGTCAGGGCCGGATGAGCAGGCTGTGTGTCCCCCCAGCACCCCCAATCTAAGAACTGATTCCCATCTCAGCCCTTGATCCTCAAGTTGTCAGCTCCAGCTGTTCTCTCTAGGAAAAAGGCTGCCTCTTCTTTGCCTCAAGCTCCTGTTTACCCTTCATGCTCAGGGCCAGCGCCACTTCTTCTGGGAAACTCCTCCCACCTTTCCACTCTGGTGGCGCAACGGTGACCTCCTCTCTCCCTGCTTTGCTCAGGGGCTGTGAGCTCCCCCAGGCAGGGCAGGCACAGGTTGCTGTAGCCCCAGGGTGTAGCCCTTGCCTGGGCACTGGAGGTGACTGCTGGCTTGGGGGTGTGAGACAGTGGGGTGGAGACTCACCCTCTCCGAGCTGCAGGGCGGGGTCCATGAGCTCCATCATATACTCCACGTCCAGGAGCATCTCCGTCAGATTGCTACGGGCCAGCACGTACATGAGCACGGGCAGGAAGTCGTCGGCCCCGTAGGGCTTCCCTAGGTGGAGGAGGAGGGAGGAGAGGGCAGTGAGCTCCTGCCAGGCTCTCCCTGGGAGCCTGGCCAGGCCGTGAGGGGCTGTGCTCGGCCAGGCTGGGTGGTCACTGTGCGAGAAGACCACTCCCACCCCGCCGGGATCCTCAGGACGCAGCGGGCTGTGCTTGGCCATCAAATTCATACCACACCGATTCACAGGCCTGCCAAGCGCTGCTGTGTGCAGCCAGCCCTGGCTCCTGGCAGGTTCCCTGTGCCCTCGCCCTCATCTCCCTGCCAGCTACAAAGCAGGAAGCTTTTCCTGGGCACGGCAGGCCTGCAGTCCCACCAGCACACCTTCACCCTGTGGGTGCAGTCTTTCTGGGTCGGGTTCTCTGAAGACAGCTGGAGGACAGCTCATGTCTCTGCCTTTGAGGGAGACTTACAGGCTCAGGGCACCCTGACAGCAGCAGATGCAGCCACCGAGATGGGCAGAGGGCAAGGAGAAAGGCAGCAGAGGCCTCGAAGGGCTGGCCCAGTTGGTCTGTGCATGGCTTGGAAGACACCCGTGACAACACAGAACCAAGGGCTGGGCCTGGAAGGGACAAATTCCAACTGAACAGCATGCCTCGGAGTCCTGCTCAGCACCGTAGGCCTTACTTGTGAGCACATGGGGACAGGAAGCCCAGCTGAGCAGCCTGCGCTGTGGGGCCTGGCCACACTGGTCCCCAACACAGCTTCTCTCTTTTAACACCCAGAGGCCAGGGCTCAGGCTGGACTGGGCTGGACTGACGGCCCAACACAGGCCAGCAATTCAGTTCTTTAAAAGAAAAATTATTCCCACTAGACAGTTTTACAAAGGATTTAGTGGCTATGGGGAAATATACCTGATAAAAGAGGAAAATCTAAATCAAAAAAAAAAAAAAAAGAAAGAAAGAAAATAAAAAAGAAGAAAATAAACACCAGGATGGGTATGGTGACACACCTGTAATTCCAGCACTCAAGGAGCCAGAGGCAGGAAGATTACAAGTTTGAGCCCAACCTGGGCAACTTAGTGACTCAGTGAGAACTTGTTTGAAAATAAAAAAGGGTCAGGGGAGAAAGGCTGCTCAAATCTTGGCAGGGAGTGTGCAGAACAAGGTGCCAGGGCTTAAACAACGCAAGTAGTTGGTGCCATGTGGACATACTGAGGCTGCAACAAAGAGAAAAAGTGCTTCCAGAGGGCTTTTCATTTAGTAGCACCGAGGAGCAAACTGAGGGGTGCCCACTGAGCTACATCCCCATCCCTTATTTTGAAACAAGGTCTTGCTAAGTTGCTATTTGCTCGGGTAGGATTTGGATTTGCAATCTTTCTGCTCTGGCCACATCCACGTCTCATAGAAGATAAATATCTGTGGAGCTATTTATCAGAATATTCTTCCATATGTTGCACAATGTGGACAAAAAATAATGTTCTATAATTAAAAAAGTCTACTGTATATAGAACCTGATGTTAGCCATTTGTCCGTACACCATCGACAGCACTCAAAACCACACCAGGGCCCAGAAACCAGGGGTGGATTGGAAGTTATCGATCCTGCTGCACAACAAGCCCGTGTTGATTTGAAATGTTGGTATCTTGCTCGTTGTGGATCTCACAGTAATTTTTATATTTAAAGCTACTGCATTAAAGTAGCACTTATTGGGGCCGGGGATATATCTCAGTGGAATAAGTGCTTGCCTGGCAAGTGCAAGGTCCTGAGTTCAATCCCTGGTGTCATAAATAAATAAACAAATAAACAAATAAATAAATAAAGTAGTACTTATTGCTGGAGTGTTGGCGCACACCTGTAATCCCAGGACTCAGGAGGCTGAGGCAGGAGGATTGCCATGAGTTTGAGGCAAGGGAGCTCAAGGCCAGCCTGTACTACATAGTGAGATCCTGTCTCATTAAAAAAAAAAAAAGTACTTATGCCGCCATCTAACTACTAGATCCCACCCTAATTTATAAGAGAATGAAGACATATTTCCACACCTCTGCAGAGCTCCCAGGGGCAGCCTCTATGATGGCCAACAAGTGGAAAAAGCCCAAGTGCTCTTCCCTGGGTAAATAAATGCAGACAAAGTGGCCCCCAAACAGCTGGATGCTGTTAGGCGATGCACAGGAGTGTGCTGGGGATGCCTGCTAGCGTGTCAGGACATCAGGACAACACTGTCTTTTTTTTTTTTTTTTTTTTTTTTTAGATGGAAATGTCTTCTGTGACAGAAGCCAGTCACAAAAGAGCACAAATCACATGATTCCATTTATAGAAAATTCCAGAATAAGCAAACCTAGAGAGACAGAAAGCAGGCTGATGACTTCCAGGGGATGGTGGGAGATGGGAATGGAGTTTGTTTTGGGAGTGATAAAAATGCTCAAAATGAGAGTATTTGAAAATGCAACCTTGAGCATATACCAAAAACCACCAAATTTTTAAAGTATATGGACACGTATATATGTATCTTGGTTATTGACATTTTAGGGTATTCCTTACAGTGTGTCTCTAAAATGAGTGTCTCGGGGCTGGGGAGATGGCTCAGTAGAATAAGTGCTTGCCTGGCAAATGCAAGGGCCTGAGTTCAATCCCCAGTTCTGCCAAAAAAAAAAATAAATAATAAATAAAATGAGTGTCTCACCTCACCCAAATCCTTTTGGTTGGCACTTGGGGCAGGGAATGGCATCCAAAGCACATGGGTGACTGTCAGCCACTGCAGTGGCACTGGTGTGGGCCCTGCACCTGTGCCGGTGGAGGAAGGGAGTTGTAGCTACTCTCTGCTCTTAGGACCCTTCCAAGTTAAGGCCATCAGCCAAGCCAGGGCCTATGATTTCAGGTTTGTGGACAACTCTTCACCTTGTTCAGTCTCTATTTTCACAGTAACAGAACCTCTGACTTAGTTGGAACGTGGCCTCCAAAAATAAAGGCTGCTTTCCCAGCTTCCCTTGCAGCTAGGTACAGCCTTATATCTAAGCTTTGGTTAAAGGGTCTCAAGAGGAAAGTGGCATATTTAACTTCCAGGTCATGACCCTGAGGGGGAGGAGCACGTGGATAAAGAAAAGCTCAAGCATGATGGAGAAAGAAGGTGGGAGAAGCCTGGTCCCTGAGGACTTTGTAGAGGAGGGATGTCACCAGAAAATGTGAGTGAACACAGATCAGCTCTGTCTAGAGTACAAGTAGTACAAATGTGTCACCAGCAGTCCGACCCCTCCAGAACCCAAGCTGCTGGGCAGTGGCCAGAGCAGCCACTGCCCTTGCTCACACTCTCACCCAAGCCTTCGTACTGACCAGCCTTCCCCTCTGTCTGGTTTTCCAGAGAACACTGTGCCCTGTTTCCTGCCCTCCTGGCCACACTCCATTTCTCCCTCTGCAAACTGGGAACAGCAACCCCAGCTCTGATGGCCTTTTGGGTTTCTGAGAGAATATGAGGAGAAAAAGAATATGGGCCTGAGAGAGCACCTGTAGGAACTCCAGAAAGAAGGGTTGTGACTGGTGTCCGGGTTCTGCTTTCTCAGGTAGCTCAAGTTCTCCACCTTTCAGATGAACACGCTGAAGGGGCTGGCACTGAAGGCAGTCAATCAGACTTGGAGTGTTGGTCCTAGTGCAAGACCAACCAGCTCTGTGACCTCTGCATGCTTGCTTTCCCTCTGAGCCTGCATTCCCAGTTACGTGGAAAGACACAGATGACATGGCCATGCCATGGGGCGTTGGTGAGAATACTACGACAGGATCTACATGGACTGTCCCCACTGTGCCTCCATGAAAGTGCCTACAGAACTCGACTGACTCCCCCATTGTTCTTCCTGAGAGCTGCACCCCAGCCCCTCTGCGTCCCTGACCTCGGGTTCTCCCTGTGTAGAATTCGTCCCAAGGAGTTCCCTGGCACTTTATGAGCCTAAAGGGCTTCTGGGGAAATACTATTTCATGCTTGGAGTTTTTTTTTTTTTCATGTGAATAGTTTAATTATTAAGATCCTGGCACATGGAGATTTTTATTCTCTGTTTTTTTTTTTTTTTTTGGTTTTGTTTTGTTTTGTTTTTTGCGGAACCAGGGATTGAATTCAGGCCTTTGTGCTTGCCAGGGAAGCGCTTATTCCGCTGAGCCATTCCCTGGCCCCTTTATTCTCTGTTTTGATTGATGGCTAGGGAGCAAAGAGAGTCACATGGTTTGACTCCGCACCTGAACTGGGCCTGACGGGTTCCCTCACCTCACAGCTGACATGATTCACACTCTACCTCCAGGAACGTATTTTCTCCCATCTATTGTGTAACTAGCAGGAAGTGCCAGGAAGTGGTTCTTAGCTAGGGTGGTTTTGTCCCCCAGGGGATGTCTGTGAGGCCTGGGGTTGCTTCTTGCTTGTCAGATATGGAGGAGGGGCAGGGATGTTTTGAAAGGTTCGCTGGGGCACAGGGCAGCCCCCTACCAAAGCTCACTGATCCTGAAACACCCGAGTGCACAGGGTAGCAGGACTATGAATCAGGATTCTCCGCCTGAAGATGGTCCAGCCATACACAGCTTGGCACACAAAAAGGGCCCAGGAAGAAGTTCTGGCTGAGTGAATGAGTGTTCCAGCGCTGGGCTCTGACTCAGGAGTCCCCAGGGACCTTCCTCCAAAGCCATGCCCTTGCGGTTCCCAGATGCAAACCAGGGGTCCTCCATGCTCCCCGGGGCCCTCATCTGATGCCTTTCTGCACTCCCTGACTGTTTTCTCCAGCCCCACTGCCTGCAGTGTCAGTCCCTAGAGTGAAGCTCTGATGCGGCACTGTCCCTGCCCAAGAGCTGTCGGTGGCTCCCAAGGCCCAGTCCTGTACCCTGCTGCCCAAGGACTTGTGTGAGTGTGCCGAGACACCACACTGTCACGAGTCACCCTGCTAGATCCTGCCACACCATCCAGCCAGTGGTCTGTGCATAGGTGGGGCCTGCCACACCCACCTGCCTGACCGGCCCTACCCTGCATTCTGTAGGTGCCAACCTGGCCTCACCAGGACAGCCACTTCTGTGTGGCCTTTCAGA